TAGTTTGAAAGGGGAGAGAGTTCCCTAAGTTTTGATGGCACATATAAACAACACAAATATGTAAGTTATAGGGTAATTTGGAAGATAGTTTCGAATAGATAGATAGTAGATAGTTTCGATAGTTTAGAATGATCGAGTAAGCATTAAAAAACTAAAACAATAAATCCCACGGGAACCGTAACTATTCCAGGGATATAAAGTCGCCTATGTGTTCTTCCACTATGTTCTAAGCATGTGCCAAATTTCATGTAGATCTGTTCAGCTGTTTAGGCTACAAATGCAAACAAACATCCATCCATCCATCGTAACTTTCGCATTTATAATATTTATATGATAAATATATTTTTTATGTATTCCAGGTGAAATAGGAATAATAGATTATGATAAAGTGGACATAACAAATATACATAGACAGATATTGCATGGAGAATGTGACCAGGATAAAAGTAAAGCGGAAAGTGCTGCGGAGACATTGAAAAGGTAAGAAAATATTACGTCCGACTTCAAAAAGAAGATTCAATTCAAAGACATTTAAGAGATACAGAGATGAGACTGAACAAAATTACTTCACCAGTACTTTCTTTGAAAGGTACTACAGTAGAACCTCGATAACTCAAACCTCGGTAACTTAAGAACCTCTATAACTTCAAAAAAATAATATGTTCCCTTCCTATCAGAGACCAAAACCTCTACTACATAGACCCTTGATAACTTAAAACCTCTAACTTATAATATTTTGTGTTTACCTTGGACTTTAACTTATCAATGTTCTACTGTATATCAGTTGTCAAGTTTGTTTTTATAGTGGTAGTGCCCGCTTTAACATCTTAGCACTGCAGGTCTCGCCCCCAATACCACGACCACACAGAAGACAGGCGTCAAATGAAAGCAATTCCGTGTTTAGTCTGATGAGTTTGGTGCGGGTGGCCTAATTTAAGTCCCTTTCTCTTTACCATACTTTTCTTATAAGGAGGGGATGGAAAGGGGAAGTGGATTTGATGGTAAAGGGCATAGGAAGGGGAAATATCCTCTTTATGTGCGTCTCCTCCGTCGGATAAGGGTAGGCAACGCATCTGCAATTGCGGATTCTAAAGGCAGCGGTTGCTTTTCTTTTTGGCGGATTCAGGTGGCCGCTTGCTCGTTTGCCACCACATGATATTAAAAAAAAACATCCATCCAAACTTTAGCATTTATATTGTTTTTTTTTTCAGCATTAACTCGAATATTAAAATAACTCCATACATGGTACAATTGGATTCAACTAATGCTTTGGAAATTATGTCTAAATATGATGTCGTTTTAGATTGTACTGATAATGTGCCAACGAGATATTTATTGAATGACGCTTGTGTGATGACTAAGGTAAGGAGAAATTATAAAAAAAAAAAAAAAAAACCCAACTGGTTAAACGCCATCTATTGGCTGTGGTTTAAAACGAAAATTTTAAAATATTCAAATTTGAAACTTAACTAACGAGCTGTTGCCCGCGACTTCGTCCGCGTGGTATTAGAAAACATACGAACTATCTTACTAATATTATAAAAGCGAAAGTTTAGATGGATGGATGGATGGATGGATGTTTGTTAGACTTTGCACCCCAAACGGCTGAACGGTTCTCGATGAAATTTGGCATAGATGTAGAGGATAGTCTGGAAGAACACATAGGCACTTTTGTTTTTTTTTAATCCCACGCGGACGGAGTCGCGGGCGATAGCTCGTTATATATAAATAACAAAAAGCTACGTATCCCGGGAACCGGACATTTCTCGGGGATGAAGCTTATCTCATGTGTACTCCACACTTTGTTTTATATCTGTGACAAATTTCAATAAGATATGTTGAACCGTTGCAGAATGATCTAGTAAACATTAAAAAACTAAATTAATGAATCCCACAGGAACGGTAACTATTCCCGGGATAAAAAGTATCCTATGTGTTCTTCCAGACTATGCTCTAAACCTGTGCCAAATTTCATGGAGATCCGTTCAACCGTTTTAAGCTACAAACGCTAACAAACATCCATCCATCTAAACTTTCGCATTTATAATATTAGTAAGATTTAGATACTTAAGTTGATTTTTATTATTTTATAGTTACCCTTAATATCGGGGAGTGCATTAAAAATGGAGGGACAATTAACTGTATACGGATATAGAAGTCAAGGAAATATAGAAAAGGTATTTTTTTACTATCTTTTATACCAGATGGGTCTTTTGGTGAAGGGCCAAGTAGATGGTCAGGTGGGTATTTTGGTGACTGGCTAGATGGGACTTTCGATAAGTGTCCAGGTGGGTCTTTTGGTGGGTGGCCATATGGGTTACAAGTTAATTGGCCAAGTAGGTCTTATAGTAAAAAGCCATGTGTGTCTTATGATAGGTGGCCAGGTGGGTCTCTATGTAAGTGGCCAATTGTGTCTTTTGTTTGGGGCCAGCGGTTCTTTTATAAGTAGTCAGCTGGTTCTTTTATAAGTGACCAGGTGAGTCTGTTATAAGTGGCCAGTTGCCTCTTTTATAAGTGGCAGTTGGCTCTTTTATAAGTGGCCAGTTGGCTCTTTTATAAGTGGCCGGTTGGCTGTTTTATAAATGGTCAGGTGGAACTTTTATAAGTTGCCAGGTAGTTATTTTATAAGTGACCTGTGGGCTCTTTTATAAGTGGCCAGTGGGCTCTTTTATAATTGGTCAGGTAGGTTTTTTATAAGTGGCCAGTTGGCTCTTTTATAAGTGGCCAGTTAGCTTTTTTATAAGTGGCCAGTTGGCTCTTTTATAAATGGTCAGGTGGTACTTTTATAAGTTGCCAGGTAGTTATTTTATAAGTGACCTGTGGGCTCTTTTATAAGTGGCCAGTGGGCTCTTTTATAATTGGTCAGGTAGGTTTTTTATAAGTGGCTAGTTGGCTCTTTTATAAGTGGCCAGTTGGCTTTTTTATAATGGCCAGTTGTTTCTTTCATAAGTGGCCAGTTGACTCTTTTATAAGTTGCCAGGTGGATTATTATGTCCAGGAGGTGTACCAGGGCCCCTGTTACCGCTGCGTGTTCCCGCAGCCGCCGCCCGCGGAGACTGTGGGTAGTTGTTCAGCTAATGGGGTGGCAGGACCCATACCCGGCGTTATAGGTGAGTGCCCGACTGGTAGCGTAATGTGGATGGATTAACATGACTGATGATTTCACCCGATTTAAATATTATCAACTGTTGTTTATGGCCCATCTTAACTGATGTGACTGATCATTTTGCCCTTCTTAATTGTAATATTTGATCATTTTGCCCGACTTAACTGATTTGACTGAACATTTTGCACTTCTTAATTGTAATGTCTGATAATTTTGCCATACTTAACTGACATAACTGTTTATTCAACCCAACCTGACTGTAATGTATGATGATTTTTCCCGACTTCACTTTTCAGACTAATAAATTGCCCTCGAGATAATTACTTTGCACGACTTCATAACTTTTGCCCCAATACCAACTGAAGTAGAAAATATATTATCCATTACACAAAAAAATAAATTTGCCCGACTTACTTTTAGTAGGGCAATTTTGCCCGACCGGTTTATTTATTCTTATTTATATTTCTAGGTGCATTACAAGCTTTAGAAGCAATAAAATTGCTTGTTGGACATAAATATGAGAAATTGTTAGTGGAAAGGTTGTTAATATTCGACGGAGATGACGTCACTTTTAGAACAGGTATGATGTTTTTGTAGTCGGGTATTTTATAAACTGACAGATATTGTAGACTTTTAATTATAAAATTACTAACTTAAGTGAATTTAATATTTTGAAATGATACTAAAAATGCAGGGCAGCTTAATTCTGGTTATATACACTAACTGTTGCTCGCGACGTTGTCCGCGATATTAAAAAAATAATAATAAAAAAGCATAGTCTATGTTACAGATAACATAGCTTTTCAAATAATGAAAGATTTTTTTAAATCAGTCTAGTAGTTTTTGAGTTATTTCAATACATACAAAAATACAAATCTTTCTTCTTTATTATATTAGTATAGACTATGGGCCGCAATTATTTTTCGTGTACTTTTTATTAAATAACAGAAATTGCATTTTAAGTACAATATTTTTTTTTTCTTGAAATTTTAAAAAATCTATAATTACGTGCTAAAATCACTTAAATTTTTAGTAAATTAAAAATTGAACTCAAAGTATTAAAACAATAAATATGTTACAAGATTTTTTTAAAAAAATGTATTTTTTCAGTGAAACTTCGTTCACGTAATCTCAGTTGTCCAGTTTGTTCTGAAAACCCTGAAATAACTAAATTAATCGATTACGAAGTATTTTGTAAATCTCAAGCCAAAGAAAAGGTAAGATAATAAATACTTTAAATAAATAACTAATATTTGAAATAAAGGTTTTCGTAATTTTCTTATTGTGAAGGATTTTTTTCAAAAAAAAAAAAAATTGTGAAGGATTTTTTTCGATTTTTTTGTATTTAGTGTTTTTGTGTTAATTCAAAACTGGGAATGTTAACATCGATAGGTAAGTTTTTTTTATATTTTTTTTACTAATTAAATTCTATTTTTAATATAAAAAAAACATTCGCGGTATTGAAAAAAATTAATGGAAAATAGATTTTTTATTGTAATAATTTTAATAAATATTAAAATTAAAACATCCTTTATATAAGTATAATATAAGTAAATTGCGATAGTAAAAAAAATAATTTTTGCCCGTGACTTAACAAAATTAAATAAAAAATTTAACAAGGCAACCTTTTCTAGACTACTCTATATCTATGCAAAATTTAAAAAATTCCATTAAAGCATTATGGACCTAAATAGTAACAAACATCCATACAAATTATTGCATTCATGTAAGATAAACTAAATGAATCAATTAAAAAAATATGTAAAAAATTTCCTTCTAGAAGAAAGAAGAATCTAAATCACGTCAAGAAGAGAAACAGAAACGTATGACAGGTCGAAGTTATTTCGGTTTCCGTATAAAAAATGGAGAAAAGAAGAAATACATACAGGATGTTTTAAAATCAGAAAGAAGAATTGGTAACAGATGTAAATCAGAATTCTGCGCTAAAGGCATATATAGATTCTGTTCTTCTATCCCAGAAGAGACTAGAAGGGAGTTATTCAATTACTTCTGGAACGATCTAGATTGGAAGGGGAAGAAGAATTATGTTCGTTCTTTAATAGATATTGTATCACCTAAAAGAAGAAGGAAAAATGATACGATATCTAGAAAAATAGATACAAAATTATACCATTTGATATATAAAGAGGAAAGATTGTCTGTATGTAGAATTATGTTTTTAAATACATTAGGAATAAAAGAAGCTATGTTAAGAAGTTGGTTGTCAAAAGAAAAAAATAAAAAACCTAAAATACCAATAAAAAGTCTAAATGTAAACAGATATATGGATAATTTACCGAAATATAAATCTAAATGTCAATTTTGTACAAATATAGAATATGTAAATGTAGGTAATGTGAAAAATTTGTACCAATTGTATAATTTTTATGTGAATGATGTGAAAAATAGAGGTCAGTTGCCAGCTTCGAGGAAAACTTTCTCTAATGTTGCAAGTAAAAAAAATATAAGAATTTTTAAACCGAAAAATGACGGTGATGTTTGCGATTTGTTTGGTGATCACAATTTATTGCCATCTATGGAATATAATAAAAATGTCCCAATTTGTATGCCTTGTGAAGTAAATTATTATTATGAATAAAGATTTTTTTTTATTTCTTTTATTAAATCTCTCTTTTAGGGCTTGTCCCACCTCTGGCTGATAAAGGCTCAGATAGCTTATAACTGTCAGATAAGGGAACAAAATCCGATATTTCCATCACATGTTTTACTGTTATCAGACAATTTACAATTTGGTTGGACACTCCCTTATTATTATTAAATCTATTTATCTTATTATTTAATTAGAATCGATTAAAATTAAATCGATATGGACTTCAATGTGAATAATTATCAATTGTGAAAAAATCGATGTTTTTAACCGACTTCCAAAAGGAAGTTCTCAAATCGTCTGTAGTTTTTTTAATAACGTAGGAATTGATATTTTATATTTTTAAAATCCTTTAGAGTGTCAAAAATTTGTACACTGATGTAACGAGAATAGAAAAAAAGAATGAGACGAGAGAAGAACGATATTTTAATAATATACAGCGATTTTGCAGTTTTAATTAAAAAAAAAAACTACTTTAAAATTGCTTTTTTATTAATATTTATTAATAAGTAATTAAATTATTTATATATTTCAGGATGTAGATCTTCAAATTCTGACACCAGAATGTAGAATTTCTGCACAAAAGCTGAAGGAATTACTAGAAAGTTCTGATAAGCGCCATCTGTTGATAGATGTGAGAAACGAAGAAGAGTTTAATATGTGTCGTATAGATGGCGCTGTTAATTATCCTATAGAACAACTCCATGGAACAAAAGTTGAAGAAATAAAGAAAATGGTTCATGAAAATTCACAAGGTTTGTATATTTCAGTAATTATTTGTTTAAAATTTTAATTTCTATTGATTTTCTCTTTAAAAGGGTCTCAATATTAAATATCTAAATAATTTTATTTATTTACAGTAACTTTTATCTGCAGACGTGGCAATGATTCTCAGATAGCAGCTAAAATGGTCCTGGACCACATAAATGAGGACCACAAAGAAAAAATAAAAGATTTGATTGGTGGCCTACACTCATGGTCTGAAAATATTGACCACGAGTTCCCTGTGTATTGAAAATAAAGTATTTTTTAGATGATTTCGTTTTATTCTATTGAATTATCTGGAAGTTCGCATTGTTTCAAATAAATAAAATACTTTGGTGAAATTAGGGAAAAGGGCATGTTAAATCTAATAATAACGGAAAGCTGCCTAATAGATGATTTAAGTAAATTTTTTTAAGCCTTTTTGGAACTTTTTGCAAAAGCAAATGCCGTAGTGCGGTAATCATTGCATAGATGGCGTTGACACACTAAAATAATAAAAAAACCTTTGAAATATAGACAATAGATGGCGATAATATCGAATAAGCTTGCAAAGGTTTGAAAGAAAAGGGTTTTTTCATTTTACAGTTCATAAAAATCATTTTAATTACTCTAATATAATAAATTGTATTAATAATCCGCCGCCGTGTTCGCGAGATAGTCTCGTCTGCCGATATTTGATGCTTGCTTGTTCTGTACCGCCTCCAGTTTGGGACATTCTGGAATTAAATAAAATATATATTAGTTTAAAAAAATTAGCAAATAGTTGTATTCTAAGACATCCCGCATAAGAAAACTTCACTTTTCTCATCTATCCTAGTTAAGTAGTTTTCAATTGTCAAAATTAAATTCTGAAATGCTCAAAAAAGTAAGTATTCTATGTGTTGAGTTCAGACTATCCTCTATATACATGACTAGCAACAGCTCTCTGCTTTGCCGCCGTGAAAAAAATACAAGATACAGCCTATATTACTGATAGATAAATTAAATTTCTAATGGTGAAATAGGGTTAGTAGTTTTTGTATGAATGAAATACGTACAAAAATTCAAAATCTTTCCTTTTTATAATATTAACTAGCTTTCGCCCGCGACTCCGTCCGCATGGAATTATAGAAAAACAAAAATGAGTAGTCTATGTGTTCTTCCAGACTATCCTCTACATCTATACCAAATTTCATCGAAATCCGTTCAGCAGTTTAGGCTACAAACTCTAACAAACATCCATCCATCTAATTAGTATGATAGCGAAGGATGCAAACTAACAGACATGCAAACTTTCGCATTAATATTAGTAATACCAGTGATCCTGTGTCCGAGACCGCCGCAGTAGGAGCAGCCTTGTCCATCCGGCGCGGGCACGTCCGGCTCCCCGATCATGTCCAGCAGGAATGATGGCACCTGTAACAAATATATTTATAAGAAACTTGCTAACAAACTAGCTATTAAAATTACACAGCCGCTAACAAATCTAGAACAAGTGTTTGGTGGCTATAGAAGTTACGAAGCTCTGATAATTTTAGAACGTTTCATTGCTATCAGAATTCTACAGGCGGTAATACTAACAAAGTAGAATAATTGCTAATAAAATTACGCAGGTGCTGAAAATTCTTGTGTTTCATTGCTATTAAAGTTACACAGGCGCCGATAATTCTAAAGGCTTTACTGCTATTAAAATTCTGCAGGAGGTATGACTAACAAAGTATTGAAGAAAAATACTATTAAAATTACACAGGTGCTAACAAATCTAGAACATTTCATTGCTATTAAAATTCTACAGGCTTTAGTACCAACAAATATTATTAATATAATTGCTATTCAAATTTCACAGACGCTTCTCTTCTGTTCTATTACCTTCTGCCCCGCTTCCCGCAGCAGATGCACCAGGTCCCGCAGCACGCTGTCGTCAGCGGCGCGGCCCAGCAGCGTGGTGGCGACGCCCTCGCCGCCCGCGCGCCCCGTGCGCCCGATGCGGTGCACGTAGTTCTCTATGTCCTCCGGCATGTCGTAGTTTATCACGTGCTGGATGTTTGCGAAGTCCAGACCTGGGTAAGTTCAATTGCATATTCATAATTTCGCCCGCGACATTGTCCACGTGGAATTAAAAATAATGAAAAATCATAGCCTATGTTACCCAGTGATAACGTAGCTTTTTAATGATGCATGAATTGAAATCCACCCAGTAGTTTTTGAGTTATTTCAATACATACAAAAATACAAATCATTCTTCTTTATAACATCGGAACGATAGATAAATTGACTTTTTTATTAATTGCACTTAACATACACAAAGGATCTCCCTAAAGATGACATACCTTTACTGGCAACATCGGTGGCTACCAGTACATCCTTCTCTCCTCTCCTGAAGGCCTCTACCGCGCGGGACCTCTCCTCCTGGTCCTTGCCGCCGTGGATAGCCACCGCCTCCACTCCTGCATAGTAACATACTAGTTGATGCCCGCGACTTCTTAGGGTTTCAATATAAAAAAGCCTATAAAATTCCATCAGCTACCTTACAATTAAGGGACCATATCGCCACCCACTAAGCTCTCATATAAACCCACTGTAAATTCCTACATGGCCACTATCACTCCTACATGTCCATCTTGCATACTTCTATATGGCCACCAACTACGCTCCCATTAGACCACCCTGAATACTTATACATGGCCACCAAAAAATCTACCACATGGCCGTTTTGTATATTTCTATACGGCCACCCATTATCCTCCCACATGGCAGTATTGCTTACTTCTATATGTCCGTAAAATTCTTTCACCTTGCATATTCTATATGGCCAACAACTTTTCTCCCATATGGCCACCATCTTGATAACCCTCCACACTCTTACATGGCCACCCTCATTCCTACATGGCCACCCTCACTCCCACATGGCCATCCTCACTCCTACATAACCACCCTCAATCAAACATGGCCACCCTCCACCACTCAGATCGAGGATACTCACCTTTGAGCAACAAATACTCATGTATAGCGTCAACGTCCTGCTTCCTCTCCGCGAAGACCAGCACCGGCGGCGGCGTCTTCTGCAGGCACTGCAGCAGGTGCACTGTCCTCGCCTCCGCCTTCACTGGCTCCAGCTCCTGGCGCACGTTGAGCGACGCCGCGCCAGCGCGCCCCACGTTCACCGTCACTGGCTTCACCAGCGCTGATCTGGTCATATTAATGTTATATGAACACTCGGAATGTCGGACTGTTTGAGTTTCTTAATTAAAGAAATTCATTAAATTTAAAGCAGTTTATTGATTTACTAGCTATCGCCGGCGACTTCGTCTGTGGGAATTAAAATGGTTAAGGGCCCACCTCTGGCTGATAGAGGTTCAGATAGCTTAAAAATGACGTCACTGTCAGATAAGAAAACAAAATCTTATTATCAGACCTTTAATAAACAATTTACAATTTGGTGGGACAGGCCCTAAGTATACTATATTTTCTTCCATACTATCCTCTAAATCTATGACTTTCATCAAGATCCGGTCAGCAGTTGAGGGTACAAACTAAAAAACATACATTTAAACATTATAGATTTATTATAAATGCAAAAGTTTAGATGGATGGATATTTTAGTGTAGCATAAACTGCAGAACGGATTTCAATGGAATTAGTCACATATGTACAGGGACAGTCTGGAAGAACACATAGTATACTTACGGCCTGTCCCAACACTGGCTGATAGAGGCTCAGATAGGTTAAAAATTATGCCTACTGTTGTTTTTTAAATTCCAAGCGAAGAGAGTCGCGGGCTAAACCTAGTATATTAGTAATATTCCCACATTTCCTTACCTAGCGAAGTTCTGTATTTTCCTCGGCATAGTGGCACTGAAGAGTAGAGTTTGCCGCTGACCAGCGAAATACGAGAATATAGTTCTAACATCCTCTTCAAAGCCCATATCTATCATCCTATCTGCTTCATCCATACAGAGGTAGCGGCACACGTTGAGACGCACCTAGAAATATACATGCCAGTAGGACACTAGCATGCCACTAGCACACCAGTAGTAAGATATTTGATTTAGTGACATTTACGTGCAAGTTGAGGGAAGGGGGCCGTGACACTGGCGTCTTATAAGACCTTATTGATTTTTTACTGGCTTGTGTGAACGTTAACTGGAATACCAGTATCTGACAAGCTAGAACCTAGCACAAAATTTGATATGTGCTAGCTGAGAGAAAGGTAAAGGGTGGCACTTGACACTGGCATGTCTTATATGATGTTATGGATATTTTACTGGCATGTGGGAACACAAACTTACATACCGTTACTGACAAACCAGTAGCTAGCACGGTATTATATTTAATGACAGCTACGAGCAAGTTAAGGGAGACGTTGAGGGGAATATTGACACGTCTTACACGACCTGATTGACATTTACTGGCTTAAGAGAACGTGAAATTGTATGCCAGTACATGACAGGCCAGTAAATAGCACGATTTTGATTTATTGATATATACATGCAAGGTAATGGAGGAAAAGGGAGATGTTGACATTGATATTTTAATTGGTCTCATTGATATTTACTGGTTTGAAAGTAACCCAGCATGCCAGTATCTTACATAGCATTTGATATTGTGAGTTATTTGCAAGTTGAGGAAGGAAATCTGACATTGACAACATTTTACACTATTTAATTAACATTTCCTAGCATATGTAGCTTGTAAATATTTTAAAACTCACCATTTTCTTATCCAGCATGTCCATCAGCCGGCCAGGAGTGGCCACCATTATGTGGACACCTCTTTGGACAACATCCATACATTCAGACACCGCCACCCCTAAATGTATACACATATACTAGCTGTTAACTGCCTTCGTCCATGTGGTAAAAAAAAATAAAAAAAAACATAGCCTATGTTACCCAGTTTTGTAGCTTTATAATGGTGAAAGAATTTATAAAAACAATCCAGTAGTTTTTGAGTTATTTCAATATAAAAAAAATACAAATCTTTCCTTTCTATAATACCAGCTGCTGCTTGCGACTTGGCTCGAGTGGAAATAAAAAGTAATAAAAAATATAGCCTAACATAGGCACAGATAAATTATTTATTGGTGAATCGAACACATACAAAAATCCAAAAATAAAAATCTCTTTATAATATTAATGACTAGCTGTTGCTCGCGACGTTGCCCGCGTTGAATTTAAAAAAAAATTATAGCCTATGTTACTCACAGATAAATTACCTTTTTAATGGTGAAGGAATTTTTAAAATCGGCTCAGTACCTCGATAAGTTAAAGTCCAAAGGAAACACAAAATACTTTAAGTTATAGAAGTTTTAAGTTATCAAGGGCCTATGTTATAGAGGTTTTGGGCTCTGATGTGAAGGGAACATATTATTTTTTAAAGTTATAGAGGTTTTTAAGTTACTGAGGTTTGAGTTATCGAGTACTACTGTACATACAACAATACAAATCTTTCCTCTTTATAATATTATTATAGATATAAATTAGTCTAACTGCTTACCCCCGATCGCCAAACAGCTTCGTATTTCAGGGTTACCAGACAACTTGATATGTCTTACAAAGTGCTGGATGATGTCAAATGTTTGTTTAGCAAGTTCTCGTGAAGGACAAATAATTAAACCATAAGGTCCTTCGTTTCTGGAAATACAATTTACCTATACTAAGGCTAACTGTAGGAATTTATTAAAAAACTTAATAGCCTATGTGTTCTAGACTGTCCTGTACATTTACGCTAAATTTCATTGATATATTGATTTAGTAGGGTGTATCGGGACTTATTAAGGTAACGCGCTCTATCCTTCGGCCGCGTCTTCACTTAGCTTAGGTGGAGTCGTGGTCAAGCGGTGTTTTATTTATGTTTAAAAAAATCTGTTCAGCAGTTTAGGCTATAAACTCTAAAAAACATTCATCTAAACTTTCGCATTTATAATATTAGAAGCTTTGGCTCACGGCACCTTTCACGTGGAATTGAAAAAAAAGTTGTCTGTGTTCTTTTAGATTCTCTTTTACATCTATGACAAATTTTAATGATATCTGTTCAGCAGTTTAGGATACAATATCATCCAACAATCAACATCCATCTAAACTTTCGCATTTATAATATTACAAGCTTTGGCTCACAGCACCTATAGCGTGGTATTTAAAAAAAAACTAAGTAGGCTATCTGTACTTCCTGACTATCCTATATGTCTATGCCAAATTTCATTGAGATCAGTTCAGGGGTCTAGGCTACTAACATCCATCTAAACTTTCACATTAATAATATTACTAGCTTTTGCCCGCGACTGTCTGCATGATATTAAAAAAAAAACGAAGTTTTCTATGTGTTCTTCCAGACTATCCTCTACATCTATACCAAATTTCATCGAAATCCGTTTAGCTGTTTAGGCTACAAACTCTAACAAACATCCATCCATCTAAACTTCGCATTTATAATATTAATATGACTAAGAATAAACTAATGTTATTAATATTAAATTACAAGCTGTTCCCTGCAACTTCATAGGCATAGAATTTTGAAAATTTTATTTTATTGTATACATGTGTCAAATCATCAATTGCAAATGTCCGATGACAAACTATGGCAACCTTGCTTCCTTGATGTTGGCAGCAACTTATGGTCTCTTTCTCACATTACGGTTTTTATCCAAAATATTTACCCCCTAAGTTTAATGGCGTGAAAATTGTAGCCTAAAGCGTGACGTAAGTGTAGGGCTTTTTATTAAAAAAAAAGAACTATTCAAAAATATGCTGTAATTGCTGACATGTTAGGCAACAAAGAAATGTGTTTAGATAAAGATAAGTGTGGTAGATAGAGGTGGTTATTCAGTGGTAGAGCCCGCTTTAACATCTTCGCACGAATGGGCCGGCTCGCCCGGTGTAATACCACGACTACATAGAAAACAGGCGTGAAGTGGAAGCAATTCCGCGTTTCGTCTGATGACTGTGGTGCCGGAGGCCTAATTTTAGTCCCTTTTCCTTTCCGCCCTTTCCTTAAGGGGAAAGGATAGGAGGGAAAAGTGGATTTGACGGTGGAGGAGACGCATAGGAAGGGGAAATGTCCGCTTTATATGCGTCTCCTCCTTCGTCAATTAGGGTAGGCAACGCATCTGCAATTGCAGATGTCTATGGTAAGCGGTCGCTTTCCATTTCGGTGGATTCAGGTGGCTGCTTGCTAGTTTGCCACCTCGTATTATAAAAAAAAAGTATAGATACATACCTTATAAATGGCATTTTTATCTCTTGTTCTAAACAGAACATTATAATAGGCAATATGAATACTAAAGTCTTTCCGGAGCCAGTGAAAGCTATTCCTATCATGTCTCTACCGCTGAGCACTGCGGGGATACCTTGCACTTGGATAGGTGTGGGCTTTTTAATACCCTTCTCTTCTAGACCTCTTAAGATACCTAGAAAGAATTAATGTTCAGTATAGCAAGGATGGCGGCCGACTTGAAGGCTATCGGGCTGTCATGGTCCGAGATACAACGCGAGTAAGACAGAGCGAGCTGGCGGCGTACTGAGGACGCCCTCTGCCCCACTTTGAGGACATAGGAATAGAAGAGAGAGAGATAGCAAGAATGTAGCTAGAGTCGAAATAGAGGTATGGTAGCAATGTTTTTTATATGTGTTGTGGGACAAAAGAAATGTAAATGACTAGCTTTCGCCCGCGTATTCGTCCGCGTGGGATTTAAAAAATAAAAGTGAGTATCCTATGTGTTCTTCCTGCCTATCTTGTACATCTATGTCAAATTTCATCAAGATCTGTTCAGCCTTTAGACTTGAAGCTCTAACAAACATCCATCCATCTAAACTTTCGCATTTATAATATTAGTAAGTGTGAACAAAATCTTTGTATTGGTTACTCTAAAAAGTACTATATTAATTGTCAAATTTCACTATATATATATATACTAAGCTCCACCTTTTGTTATAAAACATTTTTAAATTACTAGCTTTCGCCCGCGACTCCGACCGCATGGTATTGAAATAACAAAAGTAAGTTGCCTATGTGTTCTTCCAGACTATACTCTACATCTATGCCAACTTTCATTGAAATCCATTCTGCAGTTTAGGCTACGAACTCTAACAAACATCCAACCATCTAAACTTTCACATTTCCACATTGCTTATGGCTGAGATGCGTATGTTAAGATAGATGTGTGGTGTGACAAGAATGGATAAAGTTAAGAATGTGTACATTAGAGGTAGTTTGAAAGTAGCGCCAGTGGTGGAGAAATTGAGAAGCAAAAGGTTAGAGTGGTGTGGACTTGTTTTGCGATAAGACGATGGGGACATAAACCAGAAAGTGTTAAGAATTAATGTGGATGGCTAAAAAGGAAGAGAAAGACTGAAGAAAATATGGATGGATTGTGTGAAAGAGGATATGCTTAAGAAAGGAGTGGATTCAGATATGGCTGATAGAGATGTATAGAGCAGCACATACTGAGCAGACCCTCCGTAAGGGCAAGTGGATGATGACATTAACCTCCACCATTTGTTATAAAACATTTAAATATTATTTAATGACACCTAATAACTAGCTGTTAACTATATCCACATAAAATTATGAAAATTTTATTGTTTACATGTGTCAAATTATCAATTGCAAATGTCAAAATGACATGACATGATGACAAACCATGGCAACCTTGTTTCCTTAATGTTGGCAGCTTGTAGTCTATGATCCCTTTCCCAGATGGTTTTTCCAATTCATTTGTCCCTCAAGTTTAATAGTGTAAAAAAATATAGCCTAAAGCATGTCATAAGTGTAGGGCTTTTTTTTTAACGAGTTATTAAAAAATATGCTATGATTGTTGACATCCTATGCCACTAAGTAGTGAGTTTTTACGCTTTATAATATTAGTATAGAGTATAGATATAAATACAATGGGGATGTTTCCTAATTTTTGGAATTGCTTTTATTATGTAGATAAACCGTATCTGAATATGAAAAAAAAAATAACAAAATCATATACGCAACATTTCATTACAAAAACACTTAACTAAAAAGAACTTCTCCAAAGACCGCGAAAACGCCTCATGACGTCACTTTCTTGCTTACAAACCTCGCGTCGTGGTCTGTCAAATTTGAATATTAGCTACTCAAATAACTTTTACTATTTTTTTCGTCATATTGATCGAAAATTTGCTCGTAAAATATGTCGTAAATATAAAAACACTTAATAATGGAGTCCTCATAATATAACACACGAAAACTCAATTCTTATAATCATTTAAAAAAATATATAACTACAAAATGCACTGACATTTACTGAAGTTGGTCACACTGCCATGTTATATGCGAGAAAGTGACGTCATTGGTGTTTGAGATCGAGTAATGGAGGGTAAAAAATATTGCAACGTTTTTAATTTATATTTAATTTGAGACAAACATTCAAGGTCTCTAAATGTTATTATAGGTTATAAAATGCTGTCTTTAAAATATTAAACATAACTTTATTTGGATTTGTAACATTAGGAAACATCCCCATTATATTGACATGAGTTTTTAAGAATCTATCAATATATAGAATAGATTACCTTTAGGGAATTTCATATGCTGGAATGTCCTAATAGGTGGGGGTACATCATCCCCTTCTACCAATATCCTAAGTTGCTGTCTGATAAGATCATTCTTTTCCAGAGGTCTTTCTAACACAGACCGAGGTGGTCTCCATGATGTCTTAATTGGATCCTCGTATTGTATACCTGGAAAATTGAAGGAATAGTTTTTTTAAGTCCTAATTAAAACTTACTCATTATTTTATTGGCTTTCACACTTGATCTCATTTGCATGGGATAAAAAAACAAAAATAAGAATCCTATGAGTTTTACCAGATTATCCTCTATGTCTTTGTCAAATTTCATAGAGATATGTTTAGCAGTTTAGACTCTAACAAACATCCATCTATCTAAACTTTTGCATTTTGCATTGGTAAGAGGCAAGATTATAAGTTGGCAAACAAGCAAGAGGCTAGAATTTGGTTAAATACCAAAGCTCATAGACATCCATAAATGCACATTTTATACCTTTAATTAACTGAGGAGGGGACCAACAAAAAATATTTCCCTTTCCAGTGTCCCATGATTTGTAAATTTGTAAAAGAGTGTAATCATAATTAATTTTAATTTAACATTACCTTTAGCAAGCTCAGCAACACCCATCAAAGCTTTGCTCTGAGCAACACTTTCTAGTATATGCTGTTCTTCCCGTGCTTGTCGTTCAGCAGCAGAAAGTGCTCTAGCCTCCGCTAACCGCTTTAACTCGCTATGCTGGTCCAGTAGTGACACATTGTATCTACGACCCCATTCCTCTTGAGATGCTGGAATGTATGGCCCGATTAAATTCATTTTTTTAGTCTCTTAAATAAAGTGTTTTAGTATTACCCTTATTTTAACCACAAATAATTACCTTCGTCGTCCAAATCATTATCACTAGAACTCTTAGTTTCCGCCGCCGCCTCTGCAGCTACCTGCCCAAGTCTACCAAGCTTTAGCAACTTCTGTTTTTTACGTTCTTTTACCGGAACATAAGGTACATAATTATCAATCTCTTCCTCAGATTCTGAGGATTTCTCTTCACGCCTGTAACGTTTTATAGGCGGAGCAACGTCCGCTTTTTCTTCTGACATGTTAATTGATTTAATTATCAGTTAATTTTCATGTTTTATTTACTTACAATCAAATAAATACAAAACGTAAAATTATTACTTAGTTTGACAATGACATTGACAGTCACGACAAACAAAGATGAATACAGAATATAAAGCCAAAATAACATGCCCTTTTGAAACTTTTTATTGGTTTCTATCATTTGATTTCTTTCTATAACTTTGCATGCGATGCATTTTCATAAAATACGGATTGTTTTAAGTTTTATTTATACAGCGAAACATGATCTTGTTAAAGGTAAGGCTTTATTTATATTGGAAATAGATATAATAGGTTAGGACAAAATCTAAGGACTTATATGGACTGTTGTATTTCCCCAAGGGTGAGTTTAATTGTTTTTTGTTCTTGTGCTTATCATTGAGATTTGATATATAATTTAGGTCTTTACCTACTTTTAATTGAAGAGTTATAAAAGGTAATTAAACAGGTCAATAACCTACGAAACTATGGGTAAATGATTAATTAAGTAATCAGCCAATGGGGATGTTTCCTAATTTTTGGAATTGCTTTTATTATGTAGATAAACCGTATCTAAACATGAAAAAAAAATATAATAAAACCATATACGCAACATTTCATTACAAAAACACTTAACTAAAAACAACTTCTCCAAAGACCGCGAAAACGCCTCATGACGTCACTTTCTTGCTTACAAACCTCGCGTCGCGGTCTGTCAAAGTCAAATTTCTACTTCTTCTTCTTTTAATGTTTAGTGGACCCCATCGTTATTTCGATGATTTCGCCAACGTCAAGGTTGAAGATAATTGAAAGTATATAAAACGAGACTAAAATTTTGATTAGCAGTTACTAGAAAGTCGGAATCCAGTGTGATTGACAAATGACCGGTAGCTGATGATATCAATCGAGGCACTGTAATAGGACAACACCAATGTTACTATACTACACACTAAATACAAAATTTATATATTTAATTACAATTTAATATTATTGGAAATTAAAAATTTAAATAAAACCTTCACCAGGGGGCTGTAAACTAAGGTTAGCAAGAATGGAATACTAATGGGTCTAGGAATTTGGGTAGGAAGAATATAATATAAGTGAACTTTAAGTTTCGGACAATTAAAAAATATATGTTCTAAGGATCCCTCATCCAAACCGCACTCACACAAGGAATGATCATAA